GCCCTAACCGGTTGGTCTCAGTGGATAGAGCGTTGGATAGAGCGTCGGCCTGCGGACTGAAAGGTCCCAGGTTCGATTCCGGTCAAGGGCATGTACCTGGGTTGCGGCCACATCCCCAGTGGGAGATGTGCAGGAGGCAGCTGGTCGATGTTTCTCGCTCATCGAAGTTTCTAACTCTCTCTCTCTCTCCCTTCCTCTCTGTAAAAAAAAAATAAAAAATATTTTTAAAAAAAAAAAAAAACTGGTTTCCTTACACTTTGTTTCACCATAGTTCTGAAAACCTATCAACAATGTTAACTGAGGACATACTGTACTTAAAGACTATTAAACCATACGCTTAAAAATGGTTGAAATAAAACACTTTTATGTGCATTTTATCACAATTAATTTTTTTATTCCCTTAAATCAATCACTTACAACTGAAGAAGGGGCTGTTAAATATAAAAACTGGTACCTAAGTATAGTACTAGACTTCGTATTAGAATTGGCCAAGTCAAGAAAGGTGATGGGGTGCAAAGAGCTTCCCCCTCACAGATTAGAGACTTGACAGTTCTGGTTATACTGTAGCGAACCAGCTGGATAACCTAGTGTGCTCTGGGTCTCAAACCATATGCACACCTTTAGGGAATTTGATAGAAAAATATCAGGCCCTAGCTGTTTTGGCTCAGTGGATAGAGCAAGGGTCCTCAAACTTTTTAAACAGGGGGCCAGTTCACTGTCCCTCAGACTGTTGGAGGGCCAGACTATAGTTTAAAAAAAAACTATGAACAAATTCCTATGCACATTGCACATATCTTATTTTGAAGTAAAAAAACGAAACGGGAACAAATACAATATTTGTATTTGCATGTGGCCCACGGGCCGTAGTTTGAGAAGCCCTGGGATAGAGCATCGACCTGCGGACTGAAGGGTCCCAGGTTCGATTCCAGTCAAGGGCACATGCCTGGGTTGCAGGCTTGATCCCCAGTATGGGGTATGCTGGAGGCAGTCAATCAATGATTCTCTCTCAGTGATGTTTCTATCTCTCCCTCGCTCTTCCTCTCTGAAATCAATAAACCATATTTTTAAAAAAAGTATATCAGGATATGAAACTGCTTTGGCTACTTCTTTTTCAGTATGGTACCTTAAGGAAAACACGCTTAGGCATGTATCAGACTGTCTAGATGAGAAACAGAACAGTGATCATGATACAAAAGGCCCTTGTCCTACTCTCTAATGACCTCCAAAAGTAGTCATCTCTACCTAACAACAGCCAAAATTAAAGCATTGATTAGGAATGGAGATACCTAGGAGGATGCAGGACTGGCTCCCCAACCCCCAGCCATGATAAACCATATCAACTGGGATGCAGCCTGGAGGGAAGGGGCTACCTGGCAGCACTTCATAATTTTAAGCAAAAGAGCAGAGCTCCCAGGACTATTGGAAGAAACAGAAAGCAATCACCAAAGCAGAGTTCAATTCAAACACTGCATTATAGTTAGAAATAAAGAAGGAACAGGAAGGACTTATGCTAATAAACAAAGAAATTTGAGCCATTAAAAGAAAATGTAAACTATAGTAAGTTTTCAAAAAGAAATACAGTAGGAAAAGTTTATAAATCATAAATAATCACCCCTACAAATGAATGTTTTGTTCCCCATAAAGAGGGCCCAAGAGGTTGTCATTATTTGAACGAACCAGCTGATAGAGAATCCAAAATTCAGAAGAAACCAATAGCAGAGGCAATACTTAGCCTCTCTCATCCTAGACAGTAGCTTTTTTATTTTTTATTTCATGTTCTTTATTGATTTCAGAGAGAAAGAGAAAGGGAGAGATAGAAACATCAATGATGAGAGAGAACCATTGATCGAGCCCACAACTCGGGCATATGCCCTTGACCAGAATTGAACCCGGGACCCTTCAGTCCACAGTTCAACATTATCCACTGAGCCAAACCGACCAGGGCCTGGACAGTAGCTTTTAAAGGAAAATAAGGCACTACATTCTAAAAGTCTAGAAGAGACAAAGATTCAAGAGTATGGTATCAATCAAGGTCCAACTAGGAAATTAAAACAAGTCAGTGTATTTATAACTGGGAATTTAATGCAGACAACTGGTAGCTGAGTAGGAACGGTGAGGCAGCCTACGAGATTAGCAATAGCAGGAAGTCATTGCTACCCATAGCCTAGGAAGACACAGAGGAGTGCAGGGTGCGGAGGTCACCTGGTAAAAACTGGACTGCCAGCACAAGCCCAAGGGAACCTAAAAACCACAGAGAAAATGCAGCCACTGACAGGGAGAAGGAGAGAGAAGAATAATACTCTTCCCTCTCTCCCATCCTCCCATTCAGTTTCTCACCAGTGTCTCCACAATTCAGCCAGATAACAGACATGGTAGCCTGGGAAACAGACAGGGGGCAGCCACCTCTCTCTTGGACTTAAAGTTTCAGGCTAGGCCCTATGTTACAATTGCTTTCAGACTTGTACAATACCATATTAGTTCTAATAAAGTTTCTGTAAAAATGTGGTTATGCTATTTTAAATTAAACACAAATTTATTTTGAAAACTAAAAAGTTACTAAAAGAGAAAGTAATCTGACTCAAGAATCAGGTCACCCTGAAGCAAACATTGAATGCATAAATAAGCCCCAAAAAGTTAAAACCATACCATTTAAATCTGCATTTTCAAATCTGACCCAGACTATTTTCTCCTTTTCTTCTGTTAGAGGTGTCCCACTGTAAGCCTGCACAGTAAACAGAAATGTTTGAATAAAAATATTTTACAGCTCTAATATTACTGATGTTCAAAACAGAGTAACTTAAAACCAACACTATCCCTCTACTATTTCACCAATCCTACCTTCATCTTGGAAACAGCACACTTTGTAATATTTGTACTCCCAAAGAAAGTTATCCAGGAGTCTGAAAACCTTGTTCAAAAGAGTTTTTAAGCTACTAAAATACTGCAGGAGCCCTGACCAGTGGCTCAGTTGGTTGAAGCATTGTTCCATTACACCAAATGGTTGTGGGTTCATTCCCGTCAGGACATGTATGGGAGGCAACCAATCAATGTTTCTCTCTCACATTGTTGTTTCTCTCTCCTTCTCCCTCCCTTTCTCTCTAAAAAATCTATGAAAACATGTCCCTAAGTGAGGATTTTAAAAAAAATTTTTGAAAAGAATTGCAGAAACATAGAATATAATAATCATAGTATATTAGGAAATAGCACTATAATTTAAAGGTGCTCAAAAAACTAAATCATTTCCTATATTGGCCAACAAATAAGTCTTAAAAAAATAAAACTATTTAGTTTCCATGTATTTATGATCAGGCTATTTACACTCTACCCAAAATTTTCAAGAGTATTACCTTCTTACAGCATAGGAAATATAGTCAATAATATTGTAATAACTATGTATGTACTATAATTATCGGGGACATCACTTCTTACATTATATAATTGTCTAACTACTAGTCCATACACCTGGAACTAATATAAAATAATACTGAATATCATCTGTAATTGAAAAATAAAATGTTTTTTAAATGTACTCCTTGAGCCCTGGCCGATATGGCTCAGTGAATAGAGCGTCAGCCTGCGGACTCAAGGGTCCTAGGATCAATTCTGGTCAAGGGCATATGCCTGGGTTGCGGGCTCGATCCTGAATGGGGGGCATGCAGGAGGCAGCCGATCAATGATTCTCATCATTGATGTTTCTATCTCTTTCTCCCTCTCCCTTCCTCTCTGAAATCAGTAAAAATATATATTTTTTTTAAAATGTACTCCTTGATATTATATATAGAATGATAGGATAGTACATCCATATGACCTTATTTCCTAAATCATAAAACAATTAAAAGCTTTATTTGCTTTTCTCTTGTAGGCTTAAAAATACAGCACAAAAACACAAAAATAAATTCACTTGTTTGTAGTCACACACACAAAAAGGAATATTACTTTCTTCATGCGTCCAGTTGGAGGGCAGTTTTGGGGGTGGAAAAAAAGTATTACTTTTTCAGTCTCTGATCTGGCCTCTACACTTAACCTATTAGCTAGTTTCTACAAGCCTGCAAGGGCCACAAAGATAAACATAAACTGCCCTGAAGTCATGGGAAAAGTGTCAAGGGTTCTCAACAGTAGTCAAAGGGAGTCATCTCTCCATAAAGCAAGTGTTTTTATTGTATGAATTTACAAATATTTAGAATGTCAACAAAAGAGCTGCAACATTTTCAATTATAAAGTGGTTCTCAGTTCAGAGAATTATTATTAAATATGGTATATCAAAAGCATACAAAAACTACCATCCCATAATTTGTGTTATACATGACCTGCTTTAAATTTCCATACCATTTAAATGTCCCTGTACTTAACATACAAAGGTAAAGGACACTGAAAATACTATTAAAAGACAGTTACTTTAATTGTAAATTTACTATACACAAAAAAATTCTTGATTTCAATTGTCTTTTAAAAAAAGTGAAATGTGAATAGGGCGGTTAATTTCTTTGAAGAGAAAAACCCACACTATAACCAATTTTATCTTCAACCATCTCATCCTTATCACCAGTTATCTTCTCATCCTTATCTTCTTCCTCTTCCTCCTTGATCTCTTACCCTTATCATCCTTGAAAACTCTTTTTTTTAAATAATTTTTTATTTTAGAATAGTTTTAGATTACTAAACAGTACAGAAAGTTCTCATATACACCTTACCCAGGTTCCTCTAATGTGAACTACCTAATATAACTAAATCTTACCTTACCATGGTACATTCTTCAAAACTCTGAAGCTAACTGATGCATTACTACTAATTAAGGCCCAGATCTCATGGGATTTCGCCAGTTTTTCCACTAATGTCTTTCTCTGCTCCAAGATCCAATCTAAGACATATTACATTTAGGACTTCTTTTTTCCTATCTCAGGCTCTTCTTAAATCTTGTAAAGCAGTAACATTTTATCAACATTTCCTTCAGTTTAGCAGAATTATCAAGTTGCTTATCACCTGTAGCATTATTCAACATTCTCCCTATTCCTTTGCAACATCAGAAGATGCTGTCCTTTGACTTCTGGGTGATATGCAGAACAAACCAAGGCTGAAAGAAGCCTTTCAGTATATGGGGATTCCAGAACTTCTTTGTTTTCCTCCTCAGGGAGAAATAAGATTTTCATAGAAAGGCTTGAATACTTTTGTTACGTCTTCAGGTTTTCCTCTATCCTTCCCAGACATGGTGTTCTCTACTAAGCATTCCTGAGAAAATTCTGTGAAGTTAACGGAAGCATCTGAGTATTGTTTCTTGTGTGCCTTCCAGCAGGTTTGCATGAAGAAGGTAGATGACACCATGTCATTTTGCTTCTCAACTTAAGATCATCTTTGCCCATGTTTAGTTATTTCATTCCCAGTGATACAGACTCACCCAGTGCCCATACAGCTTTCACTTGCCGTTTCAATGGTGGTTAGCGGACTACCAAACTGATGCTTTTTTAGTCAGGGAATACTGGCATCACCACAAGAAAGCAGAAACCTTCCCCTTCAGTAATTCCACTAAACATTGCTTCCCAAAGCTAATGTTTCACACGAATCACCTGAGATTCTTACTACAGACACGAATTACTAGATGCCACCTCAATTCCAGAGTCAAAATCTCTGGGGGAGGGGCCTGGAAATTACTATTTTCAATAAGCGTGTCAAGTGATACTTATTATATTGTCTGGGCATCAGTGCCCTAGAGGTGATTCCAGGAGGGCAGCTCTCATTCTTCATTGCACCTGGACATAGAGGAGCTTACAAGGAGCTTACTTTCTCACAGGCTAAAGTAACAGGGCATACTCTGTGTAGCATAGAAATACTGCTCAATATGAAAGAGACGTAGATTTGTGCTCAGTATTTAGTTAACATAATACCTAGTTAATGAAATGTAAAGCATGTGTTGCTTGTCTCACTTCAGTCATGCATCATTTAACCAGGACAAGGGAAAGACTGTGGAAACAGAACCCAACTAGAGAGTCCCAAGTCCCATCCCTCAACTAGCATCTCACCTTGATTCCTCTTAGGAGAGCAAATTCTGAGGAATAATAATGGTGCCACAGTCAGAACAAAACTCAGGTACATCTAATAACACGTATAGTTTCTCACTACCAATATTCAGGATACTAAAACATCAAGTCTTTTTGAAGTTGATGATACTAGTATCAAGTTTAGGAAACAGTACATTTCAGAGGCTCCCTGGACAAAGGTAAAACCTACTGTTCCGGAAACCACAAACACTTACCTGTGGCACAACATCCTGTAGAAAAGTCACAACACTTTCCATGTAGGACTGCTCCCTGCAAAGGGGAGAATTGGATAAAATTTATCGTGACAGCTTAAGACAAACATGGGAAAATTCTTTCTAAGCCCTTAGAAGATCACTCATAATATTTTTTTAAAAGCCTAACTCACATTACCTGATAATTCTGCTAACCTTTCTCCTTTCATTGAATGTTATTAAATACAAATGAGATCTTAACCAATTCTAAACATGATCTCTTCTGAAAAGTCATGCTATCTTAACACATTGTATGCAGGAAACATATTTATATGTTTTACGTTGACTGGTAGTAGAGCGCGGGACACATATTAATACGTTTTTTATAGACTAGCGGTAGAATGCGGGTAATGTATAATACGTTTATTTTTATATTTTTTTATTGCTCTAAAGGGATGCTAAAATGCAGATATATGAATTCCAAAGGACAAAATTTGGGTCTCTAACACATACAATGGTGAATTATGTATGTACTTCCAGGTATAACGGTAATCAATCTATTCAACTGCAAAAATGGCCCGCACCACCTGTTAGTGCGCGATAAAAACTACCCGCAAACAATGTGTTAACTTGAGATAGAGAACTTCTAACTCATACTTGAAGGAGTGATGACAGAAGACCTGGCTGAAGCAGAACCTTCCCCTTGAGTCTGAGCAGACTGCCCCAATTCAGGGGTCCTCAAACTTTTTAAACAGGGGGCCAGTTCACTGTCCCTCAGACCGTTGGAGGGCCGGACTATAGTTTAAAAAAAAAACTATGAACAAATTCCTATGCACACTGCACATATCTTATTTTGAAGTAAAAAAACAAAATGGGAACAAATACAATATTTGTATTCGCATGTGGCTGCGGGCCGTAGTTTGAGGACCCCTGCCCTAATTAGACCAAGAAAACCTGTTGCAGATGACTCAGTATATAGTGACCTTCACTTTAAATTGGTTATGAACCTAGTCCCTTACATGCATAGAGAAAAATGAATCCATATTTTTCTACAGCTAACTTTTGCCTTATACAAGACATGGGAAAGTAGTAAGACGCTCAAGGACACTAAAGTATTTTAAATGGGAAGTCAGCAAGTAGAGAAAAAAATTTCTTCAAAATACCAAATCAAATTCATTCCAGAGAGATGTGAAAAATTACATTTAGGGACATAATGAGATCCTAAATCCTATGTAAACATATACTTTACATACCTACAGACCTAATTAAGCCCCAAAACCCCAAAACATTTTGATTAGGCCTATCTCTCCAAACTCATTTTTCTGCCACTCCCTTAATTTGCTTTACTTCAGTCATATGCAACTTCAATTCCTAGATTACACCAAGCTCTTTTAATCAAGACCTTTACACTAGCTTTCTACCTAAAGTCCTTCCCATATTCTCAGCCTTCCCTTTCATATCTCCACCTAAACCGTTACCTCCTCAGAGAAGCCTTCCCTGATAGCCTTAAGTCATATTCCCCATTGTCATTCTCTATCATAGCACACTGCATTGATCCAAGCCTGTAATGACTTTACCTTTACTTATTCACTGTTTCCCCCACTAGAATGTAAACTCTACTACAGAGAGGAATCCATCTCTCATATTTACCTATACCTTCAGAATCTATAAGCCAGTACTCAGGCATGGAGTTGATGCTCAAGCATTGTTAAAAGAATACTGAATGAAGATATTTTTTAAACCACAAAAATTATGTATTGCATTATAAAAAGCAATAAATGTTGAATATAGTGAGGCAGCAAAGACAAACTGCCTGGATTTGATCCAGGTTCCCCTTCTTGGCTGTTACCAAAGAACAATTTACTTAATTTCTCTCTGCTGTGGTCTCTCCACCTGTAAAATGAAGAGTGAAATAGTACCTAACTCATTGCTAATAACATGCTTATTGCCGCTGTCCATAGTTAACAAAGACATATAGCCTTGGGAAATGCAGGAGGAAAGAAAAGGAAGTTTTGTGGTAAAATATCATATTACCCACAGACTTTTGTTATTCTGAGAAGGCACTTTTTATGTAACATGCTAACCTTCCCAAGGGAAATAATCCAAAATGTTACAATTCCCTTATAAACATTTTAAAAAACGGAACTAGGAGGTCACAATTCAATTCCCGGTCAGGGCATATGCACCGGTGGCGGGCTTGATCTCCAGTGGGGGGGGCAAGCAGAAGGCAGCCAACTGATGATTCTCTCTCATCATTGATATTTCTATCTCTCTCTCCCTCTCCCTTCCTGAAATCAATAAAAATATTATCTTAAAAAAGCAGAAAAGGAGTTTCAACTCCTTAGCGAGGTATTGAAAGGTCTTAATTATCCACCTCACCCTATTTCATATAAGTCAACTTTCCTGTTTCATTCATGAAAATAGCTTGCCTTACCCACATCTTCTCACTCAATTCCCTTTGCCTAAAATATACCCTTGATTCTAACTGCCCAAACACTATTCAGGCTTTGAAGTACACTATAAATGTTAGCTTCCTAACAAAACTTTTGAAATCTAAAATACTAAAATATTCACACAAAAATATTCTACATTCTCATGCTATTTTGCTAGCATCTTTTTTATTGATTATAATGATCGCAAACATACATATCTTTTCCTTTTTTAAATATGTTTTTACTGATTTCAGAGAGAGGAAAGGAGGAGAGAGAGAGAACCATCAATAATGAGAGAGAATCATGGATCAGCTGCCTCCTGTATGCCCACTACTGGGGACTGAGCCCGCAATCCCATCATGCCCCCTATTGGGAAATCCAACCATGATCACCAGCCGGTTCTAACATACATTCTTAAAACCACATTAGGTTATATGCTCCTAGAAAGTATACATAATAGCCCTGGCTGGGTGGCTCTGTTGGCTGGAGCATCATACTCTACACCAAAAAGGTTTGGGGTTCAATTCCCAGCCAGGGCACATACATAGGTTGAGGGCACCAATCCAGGCTGGGGTGAATAGGGGAGGCAACTGATCAATGGTTCTCTCTCTATCTGTATCTCTCTTCCTCTCTCTCTCTCTTCCTCTCTTTACCTTCCTCTTTCTTAAAAATCAATAAACATAAGGATTTTTTTAAGTAAGTATTCATATGCTTTGTCAAAGAAGGCTTAAAATATAGAAATGCAGCCCTAGCCAGTTTGGCTTAGTAGATAAAGCATAGGCTCCCAGACTGAAGGGCCTCGAGTCAAGGGAATGTACCTCTGTTTCAAGCTAGGTCCCTGGCCCTGGTTGGGGCAATGTGTGAGAGGCAACTAATCAATGTATCTCTCCCACATCGATGTTTCTTTCTTGTCTCTTCCCTTCCCTTCTACTCTCTCTAAAAATCAATGGGAAAGCCCTACTGGTTTGGCTCAGTGGATAGAGTGTCAGCCTGTGGATTCAAGGATCTTGGGTTCGATTCCAGTCAAGGGCATGTACCTTGGTTGCAGGCACATCCTCAGTGGGAGGTGTGCAGGAGGCAGCTGATCGATGTTTCTCTCTCATCGGACATGTACTTTTTATGACATTGACTTTAAAACTTTCTGGCTGAGATCTTAGTGCAGTGATGGCGAACCTATGACACGCGTGTCAGAGGTGACACGCGAATTCATTTTTTTGGTTGATTTTTCTTTGTTAAATGGCATTTAAATATATAAAATAAATATCAAAAAATTTCTGTATGTGACACGGCACCAGAGTTAAATTAGGGTTTTTCAAAATGCTGACACACTGAGCTCAAAACGTTCGCCATCACTGTCTTAGTGTAAGAAATACATTTTACATCACAATCTAGTAAACAGATATATCTCTGAATGTGCCATAAAACAATACTCTCAACTCTATTTTCTATTAATTCTATTTCTTTTTTGAATAATAGTCCTGATCCAACAAATTGTTTAATAACCCACTAATTGTTCAACCTGGACTATGAAAAAGCATTACTCTTTAAGATTTACATAGTGTTTTCCATGTACTGTGTAAATATGCTGAATACATCAACTTAACCCTCCAATTATTCCTTTTATTTGACCTTGGCAATGGTATTTATCATCCTACAAAGCCAAAATTAAATAGATTCTACAAAAGTAATCACTGTTCGCCGAAACCAGTTTGGCTCAGTGGATAGAGCGTTGGCCTGCGGACTGAAGGGTCCCGGGTTCGATTCCGGTCAAGGGCATGTGCCTGGGTTGCGGGCGCATCCCCTGTGGGGAGTGTGCAGGAGGCAGCTAATCGATGTTTCTCTCTCATCGATGTTTCTGGCTCTCTGTCTCTCTCCCTTCCTCTCTGTAAAAAAATCAATAAAATATATTTTATAAAAAAAAAAGTAATCACTGTTCAAAAAGAAAACCTGAGTGTTACACATCACTTATTCTGAATAATCTTTCTTCAGCTATCATGCTTATTCTGAAATTTGCTTACGTGGCAGCCTGAGGGCGAACCACAACTCCACCAGTACAACGACTGGGTCTTCTTGGGGAATCTGTAGCCATAGCTTCATTCACAAAACCTGTTTCCAGAACAGAAAATAGAAAAAAATCATTGTTGGGAGTAGGGAGAAAGGTTTATGGTTAATTACCAAGTGGTTTTTTTTTTTTATTTGAACCAAACCTCAGAACCACAAAACTAGCTAAGACTCTTGCTGGACCCTTTGATCTACTGTTAAGATAAACCAGAAAAGTAAGAGAACCAGATCATGGATGGGAAGTCTAGTGCAGGATCGCTTTATAAAAACAAATGTGCTACCTATGTAAGCCAAAATTTAAAAATTTACTGAAATTTTATGTTGAGACAGTTAAAATACACATGGTACAATATTTCAAGACCAAATGGAACAGTAGGGTAATACCATCCAACTAAGACTGTTGTAATCTGTAAGAAAGCATATTGTAACTGTGATAATGGATCATAACTAGACTTACTGTGGTGATTGTTTCACAATATATACAAATATCAAATCATTATGCTGTACACATGAAACTAATATATGTCAATTATATCTTTAAAAAAAACACTGGATGGCCCAACCAGTGGTTGAGCGCCAAACCAGGAGGTCACAGTTCAATTTCCGATCAGGCACATGTCCAGGTTTCCCGCTCCAGCGCCAGTAGGGGGCCTGCAGGAGACAACTGATAGATGGTTCTCTCTCATCGTTAATGTTTCTATCTCTCTCCCTCTCCCTTCCTCTCTGAAATCAATAAAAATATTTATTTTTTTAAAAAAATAAAGATTAAAGAAAAGACTGCATGGTCATAATTCGCAGCATTTTTAAAAACAATTAACCCCCTGCTATTGGAATCTAATCACCAGAGTCTAAATAAGTAATAAAAACTTATGACATTAGAAGCCCCTTATCCTATCCTCTCACATCACTGAATCCTCATCCCTAATAAGCATCTGAATCCTTAGGGAGGTTTTAAGAGCATGGAGCGTATTTGGTTAAGGTTTAAAGGAGGACTGACAGCAATATTAAGTATCTCTTACAGGGCTCAGGAGAGCCCACAGCCTGGAACTAATTTTGAAAAGCCCCTAAAACCCTCACTTCTAAGTAGGGAGCATTCTATCACCTTTTTTGACAACTTTGAAACTGATGAGTCCCATATGCTACACCCAAAACACCCTGTGCCCGAACCAGCCCAGGTACCCCTTCCTCAATGGGTGTCTTCACCTCCAGCCCCTCAGCCCTCTCATTTCCACACCACCCTTTATTTCCAAGCACAACCTCCCAAGAACTGTCCTATGAGGGCCCTGTCTCCAGAAGACGACCGTGGCCAGTGCCTCAGGCCCCACTCTCCTGAAAGACGCTCGTACGGCGCTACCCACTTCACCTCCAACGCTGTGCCACCGCTGCCCCCGGCCGCCCTCTGGCCCCTTGCCCTACCTCACTCCCCTCCCCCTCCAATCTCCACAGCTCCCCCTCGCCGAATCCCTGCCAGTCAAGCCCTCTCCACTCACGCGGCTTGCCCCTCGTCCTCTCCAAGCCTCCCCAAAGACACAGCCCCGCCAGCCCTCTCACCGGCCGCCCGCCGGTAAACGCTGTTCTCCAGCTCAAGCCTCACTGTTTGGAGTCCCCTCGTGATTGACGGCTACCACTTCCTACCACGCCTCAGCGGAACTACCTTTCTAGCCAATCCCAGAAGCCAGCTGCCTGCGGCCGGGCACCGCCCTTAAAGGTCAGCTTCGCCAACCAGCAAGTAGAAAAGAGGCGGACCCGCCTCCTGAAACTATCCAATCCGCTGGGGCTCGAGGAAAAACAAAACAGTATGTAAATTCGGGTAAAACCAAGGTGTCAGGTTCGGTTGCGAACGCCGGCCGGAGGAATTACGGACATGTGTATTTTCCACTGTAGACAGCACCTTCGTGGGTCTGTCAGAAAGCATCACGCCCAGACTCCTGTGCACCTCACCTGAGCGCCTCAGGCTGGGAATCGGAGGACCCGGGGACTGGTCTGTTTACATGGAATTCTCGCGACAGCTGGTTAGAAGCTCAAAGCACGTGGACATGGCAGCTGCCAATCACTTTTAGTTGGCCACTCATCCATTCCGAATCCGCCTTCTGCCCCGCCCTTGTAGATGTGTTTATCTTCCGGGAAGCTAGGTTGGTAGAGGGTGGTGGGCAGCCCTGAAGCTGAGGAGGTGTTGATCTGAAGGAGAGACGCGGCGAGTGATCTCCTCAGTTTAATCTAGGTTTATGGACCACACCTGTCTCCTTCCTTGCCTCCTTCTGCCTCCCGTAAGGAAGATATCAAAATCTCGCCGGTGTTGTTTCGTTAGTTACATTTCTGTATAACAATGATAGCATTTATTGACTTATTGAACAAACGCCCAGTAAATACAAAGGCTCTAAGAAGGAAGTGAATTTTGAGTAAGAACGAGATAAATACTATGGTTTAAGCAAAGTGAAGTAGTATAGAAAACTAGTTAGGAGAGGTAAACAATGGCCAGACGGACTATGGTTTTGTACAGGATTTATAAGGAGTTTCAATTGTATTTTAGAGTGAGAATCAATTGGAGGACTTTAAGCTAGGAAGTGTCATGATCGTACTTACATTTCTAAACGATCATTTTACCTACTAAACAGAAAATAAACTTTTGCCAGGGAAGGGACAAGGGAAGCACTGGATCAAGTATGGAGGCTATTTCATTAGACCAGGTGGGAGAAGGGGTCTAGAAGTGAAAAGCTGTGAATTTCAGAATATTTTGGAAAAGAGAACTGAAAGATCTTGATAATGCATTGCATGGGGAATAGAGGAAAAGAGAGAATCAAAGAAGATGCCTGTGTTTTGAGCTTGAGCAACTGAGTGATGAAATGTACAGATAGGATGAACAATGGTAACGTTCCACATTTTGTTTTATATTTCAGATATTTTTTATTTATTTTTATTTTTTTAAAATATATTTTATTGATTTTTTACAGAGAGGGAGAGAGATAGAGAGTTAGTTGGAAACATCGATGAGAGAGAAACATCGACCAGCTGCCTCCTGCACATCCCCCACGGGGGATGTGCCCGCAACCCAAGCACGTGCCCTTAACCGGAATCGAACCCGGGACCTTTCAGTCCGCAGGCCGACGCTCTATCCACTGCGCCAAACAGGTTAGGGCTAAGTGAAGATTTTTCTATAGCAAAACATGCCTTTAATTTAACTTTCTTGATGGTGATGTAGATACTGGGCCCTCCCTAGAAGCCGTAACAGGCCAGTGCACCAGGTAGATGGTGACGCACATACCGGTCCCGCCCTGGAATTCCTAACAGGTCAGCTACCAGACAGATGACGACACCTGGAAACAGTGACGACCCCCGCGGCAGGAACTCCCACAGCTCATGCTCCACCGCCCTCACTGAACAGCTGTATGAAAAAATGCCCCTACTCCCTCTTGGCGCGACTGCACTGGCCCAACCCCAAGACCTGTGGACCTCGCCCGAGAGCGCAGAATAAATTCCCCTCCTTCAGTCTGCCGGACTCTCTGACTCAGTTTCCTGCGCCGCGAACCTCACAAGAACCAGTTAGAAATTTCTCCAAATTAACTAATTACTAATTAACCAATGAACTAGTTCTAAGTCCTCCATTTTTTTCTCTGCAGAGATGGTGTGATTCTTTCATGAGCCTTCAAATAAAAAATAAAATGAATGGTAATCATTTTTTTAAATATGAGTGCTTAGTACATATTGCCAGCCCATGAATAATTTCAAAGTTAAGGGACTTAGGGAAACTTTTCAACAATCTGTTCTTCTGACTGAGCAACCCCAGCTAGCAAATTCATCTTCAGCATAAAAGAGTTCAAGTCAGAGAGTTCTATGTTATCCCAATTACTACAATGTCCACTATAATAAATCACTAATGACTAAAATTGCCTTTCCGCCAAAACCAGTTTGGCTCAGTGGATAGAGCGTTGGCCTGCGGACTGAGGGGTCCCAGGTTCGATTCCAGTCGAGGGCATGTACCTTGGTTATAGGAACATCCCCAGTGGGGGGTGTGCAGGAGGCAGCTGATCGGTGTTTCTATCATCGATGTTTCTGGCTCTCTATCTCTCTCCCTTCCTCTCTGTAAAAATCAATAAAATATATCTTTAAATAAATAAATTGCCTTTCCTACACGCCCCAGGGAATTGTCAAGGAACTGTTCATACATATGCAAACAAAATGTTAAGGTCACTTTACATTTTATTGTGTATTTGTTTAGATAGGATTGGGATTCCTTTTTTAACCTCAAGCAAACCATTGCCTCACTCTGGCCACCAAAAACACTTGGATAATAATCATATGATGTAAGCAGTGGTGAAATAATCTGATTTCACATAGAACTATGGTGAACATTAATATGTTAACTTTCAAATAAAAGGAAAAACAGATTTTTTTGTTGTTGTTAATCCTCACCCAAGGATATTTTTTTGATTTTTTAGAGAGAGGAAGAGAGAGGGAAAGACAGAGAGAAACATCAATGTAAAAGAGACATATTGATTGGTTGCCTCCTGCATGAACCCTGACCAGGGCCTGGATCGAGGAGGAGCCTGCAACCAAGGTATGTTCCCTTAACTGGAATCAAACCTGGGACCCTTTGGTCCACAGGTTGATGCTCTATCCACTGAGCCAAACCAGCTAGGGCAAGGAAAAACAGATTTTTTAAAAGGTGGCTATATAATGTATCATTCTACCCACAAAACCTTGAAATGAGACACTGTTAGGGCCAAAAAAATAGAATATTGGGGACTAACTATGGTTATGGTAAATATTAATCACGCTCTGTGTTAACGTAAAAAAACGATTGAAACCTGTAAAGAATTTTTGTGAGTTTATTTGAGCCAAACTGTCGACATATGCCGGGAAGCAGAACCTCAACGGATTGAGGTAGTGCTCCGGAGAATGGCGGGGTTACATCCATATTTATACATTCTAATCAAAGGAGGAACATAGAGGAACAATTAACATGACAAATGAAAGAATTGTTGTATCTGTCCTGGGACCCAGCACACCTGGTTGTGCCCCAGGGGCTCCATGAAAAGGGAAGTCACAAGTTACTCAGACATTTCAAGAGTATGTTATCATAGATGAAAAAGACAGATAGGCTGGCTCAGTTACGGTAAAGGTTGACTTTGTCAGTGAAGATACGGGCCTAGGACGTAACTGTCCACCATAACTGCTTTTAGTTAAAGTTTAATTTCAGTCCATCCTTTGTGGTTATTTTAGGTCTCCGAGTCTGCAAAACTGCCATGCAGGCCTCTCCTGAGCTTGTCAGGTCAGCATGTGGCCCCTTTCCTCCACACTCTGTTAACCATATTGACTTGTGTTGGTTAAAGAAAGGACATTCTGACCTGGCTGGGAATTGTAGGCCCCGGGACCTGAGAGTCAACCTTGGACCAGGGAGTCAACCTTGGACCTGGGAGTCAACCTTGGAATGGGGTCCATTCTCACTCAATTGCCTATTATGAGAAGATTAACAGCATGTTGCCAAAACAATGGAGTCCCACCCCTGCCTCCTACTTCCCCATGCCTGTAATCCCTACTTCCCCAAGTAATCTTTGTTTTACCGTATATAAGCAGCTGGCTTATGGGGGCTGCAGAGCAGATTTTTGTCAATGACCTGCTGCTCCCCCATACTGTTGGCAGTATTGGAATAAAGGCTCATATATGACTCAACCCTGTCTCTGCTTAATTGGCTCAAGTAGTGACAGGTACCATAGACCCATTGATTGTCCAGTTACAATACTGCTAATAAATCAACCAAAATTTTTAAAAAAGGTAAACGACAGACTGACATACCTCCATGTGGAGGTGGGAGGACAAAGAGAGATAAACCGAAGACCTTATATACTTATATGCATAGCCCAGGGACGAGGACAATAGGTTGGTGAAGACCTGTGGGGGGTAGAAAGGGGCTGGGTGGAGGGGATTAAAGGGGGTGAAAATGAGAGACCTCTGTAATATTGTCAACAATAGTAAATATTTTAAAAAGTAAAGGGTGCCCTGGCTCAGTTGGTTGAGTGTCATCCTATGCACTGAGAGGTCACTGGTTCAATTCCCGGTGAGGGCACATTCCTAGACAGGGCCTGCAGGAGGCAGACAATCAATGTTTCTCTCTCCCTTCCTCTCTCTCTAAAAATAAAGCAATAAAAACATATCTAAAAAAAAAAAAAAGTAAAGGTTAAAGTAGGACTGTCCCAGGCAAATTTTGAAGGTAGTTGCCCTTTGTCTCTCACACATCAATACTACTTTGTAACTGTTCTGTTGATGAATGTATCATTCTATTGTCTATGTAACTAAAATGTAAGCTCTTTAACAGAAGGGATTATTAGTTTCATTTTTGTTCTCCATAATGCTCTATTTCCTAACAGGAAAAATTACATGTCAAAACCCAACAATTTATCCCGAAATATGAAACTGGTATTTATAATTAAATATTCCAGAAAGTAAAACTATTGACAAAGACCAAAAATTAGTTTTATCAACTCTTTAAATGATCTCCAGAACATATTCTAACTTTCCCATATATTACCTTCCCCATTTAACCCTGGGTAAAGACTGCTTTAAAATCTGAAGTAACTTATGATGACAGGAGGGTTAGCTTTACAGTTGTATTATTATTTATTAATAATTATTTGCCCACCCCTGTATTTAATCATCTAAATATCTGCAAGATAATGAAAATAACATCATTAATGTTGTTACGCAAACAAACCTAGTATACAGCTTATGAATGCAGTATTTTAAAAAACCTATATTCTTTCTACCCATCTTCTGATTCCCTGATTGGATCCTCAGCTTCCCCTAATCTGCTGTGTATTCCAATGTGTTCTTTATTGGTGCTATGTCATTATTTCTGTTTTCATAGTTACTATCTCTCCTCATGCTGTTGAGCATCTTTACCATCATTACTCTGAACTGTGTTAAGAGGTAAGATAAATTTCTTTTTTTTTTTAATATATTTTATTGATTTTTTACAGAGAGGAAGGGAGAGAGATAGAGAGTTAGAAACATCGATGAGAGAGAAGCATCAATCAGCTGCCTCCTGCACATCTCCCACTGGGGATGTGCCCGCAACCCAGGTACATGCCCTTGGCCGGAATCGAACCTGGGACCTTTCAGTCCGCAGGCTGACGCTCTATCCACTGAGCCAAACCGGTTTCGGCGTAAGATAAATTTCTTACCTCTATTTCATATCTCTTCTACTGGAAAATTATTTTGTTCTTTCATTTGGAGGTTATTTCTTCGTCTCCTCATTTTAGCTGCCTGCTTGGGTTTGTGACTATATATTAAGTAGATCTGCTATGTGGTCTCCACTTTTGGTCCTAGGGTATCAGGGTTCTCTCCAGCAAGTCTTCTGTTGATTTTTCAGGCAGTTTTTCTATATTTTAGTTGTAATTTCAGTTTGTTCCTGGGAACATGTCCATGCAGCATCCACTTACTCTGCCGCCATTTTTAATCTCCAAAACCATATTTCCAATTTGAGTTTCGAAATTTTGCTATGTTTTGTCTTTATTAGTCAGTTGGAAGAGGATCTTGAAGGTCTCCTATATTCTTTCTAGATTGTGATGGACTACCTCCAAGATGGCCAATAATGACACACATCTTTCAGTATTCATGGCATGTGGTTGCCTCTTTTTTAAAAAATATATTTTATTGATGTTTTTACATAGAGAAAGGGAGAAGGATAGAGAGTTAGAAACATCCATCAGCTGCCTCCTGCACACCCCATACTGGGGATGTGCCTGCAACCAAGGTACATGCCCTTGACTGGAATTGAACCTGGGACCTTTCAGTCCGCAGGCTGACACTCTATCCTCTGAGCCAAACCGGTTAGAGTATGTCGTTGCCTCTTGCATTTATCTGTGTGACTAATAAAATGCAGCTGAATTAACATGGTACTTCTGAGGTTAAGTTACAAAAGACATTATGGTTCCTGCCTTGTTCATTTTTTTTTCCTATTTTAGTGTTTTTATTGATTGCAGAGTGGAAGGGAGAGGGAGAGAGAGCCAGGAATTCAATGATGAGAGAGAATCATTGTTTGGCCAACTCCTGTAGCCCAACACACGGGATATGCCCTGACCGGGAATCGACCCTT